ATAATGCAGGCTTTAAATAAGAATATGAAAACCTCAGCTTTTGCCCTTACTTTAATTAAAGGTTATATTATAATTATGTTAAAAATGTTCATGTGCAACCATCATTTGATTGCCGTTTTGGCTATAGGAACACTATTGGATTTTATTAACTAACTTTTAACCTGTACGGCAATGGGAAATTCAAATGTCAGTGAAGCATACCCTGTTGCGAGTACAGCGTAATTGGGGATGTTGAACTCGCCGTCTTTTGGTGGAATTAATGTCCAAAATATTAATTTTGAACATTTAATCAATCAGTATTAACAGTTCAACAAATCATAAAACACAGTTCAAATACTAGCAGGTGAGATTTACAGATTGGATCTCAGATGGGGTCCGCACAAACAAATACAGCAAATCCTTTTACAGACCCCTGATCAATTTGGCCAATCATGGCAAAAAATGTCCCCATCCCATTTCCTACAGCCCGCATACAGTATGTGTCTCTTTTGATTATAAAGAAGTTCTAGAGCAGGTCGCCCAATAGGTTGATCGTCAAAGCCAGGGCTGCCCAACCACCGGGCCGCGGACCGGTACCGGTCCGTGAGCCAGTTGATGCCGGTAATGATTGAAAACTGCAAATTAGAGATCTTTGCTTACTAACGGACACATTTCATTTCATTCAAAAGCAACGCCAGCTGACTAATCAGTGTCATTCAGCAAAGATAATGAGCAAGAATGTGCGGAATGGTTGTGACGGTTCTCTCGCCTCTGACAGTTGAGAGGCTCGTCGTTTTGACGGCATGCAGCGTCGTTGTTGCGTTCGGTTACTATTGCTCGTTTGCTCGACTTCTACACTGTACCGCTGAAGAGAAGCGTCCTCACAGCATGATGCTGCCACCATGCTTCCCTTTGGGACGGTGTGATCATGGTCAGTGTTGGGTTTCCACCACACAGCCTTTTGCATTGAGGCTAAAAAGTTCCATTTTGGTCTCATCTGACCAGAGCACCTTTTTCCACATGTCAGCTGTGTCTCCCTCAAATTCCAAACAGGATTTTTTATGGTTTACCTTCAAGGGCGGCTTTCTTTTTCTTCCATAATCGCCGTATACGGCTGATAGTTGTCCTGTGGACAGATTCTGCCGCCTCAGATGTGGATCTTTGCAGCTCCTCCAGAGTTACCCTGGGCCTCTTGGCTTCCCTCATTCATTTTCTCCTTGTCCGGCTGGTTTGTTTGCGTTTTGCTTTGCGAAGCAGAACATCATTAAGTGTGCGAATCCAGTATACGGACACTGCAGGAGATAAATCCTAGGCTCTCTGTACGGGATGCGTGTTTCCCATTGGAACATCCCACCTTGGGCTCACGACAAGGACTGACCTGATGCACCACTAGACAGATTCTGCACACCTGCTCGACATTATTCAGTCGGCACACGTGCACATCGAGGGACTGAAGAGCAGCAGCGGAGCTTATGACTCTTTACAAGAGAGACGAGGAACGTTATACTCTATAACCCTCCCTTATGGGGCCACTGCGTCACCTTGTGACATCCCTCAACTTTTATTAAGTTTCTCCAATTTTTGACATTCTTTGACCTCATAAATGTGCTCTCACAATGCTGTGACAGTCTTATTTCAGATCCTCGTTCAGTTAAAAGCTTATGTGGGATACGTTCTGCATATTTAAAGGCGAGCTTCAGAACCACACCGTGGTACTGATTGGCTCATTTCCCCCCGTCCCTCCACCTTGCCGACACTCCGTCCAGTCCGCCAGCTGCCTCCAAACCCATTTCCTCCAGCGCCTTCACAGGGCCGCACATGATTGATGGCCCCGGCGGCTCCCCCCGTGCTGCTGTGTATCCACCTGCAAAGTATAGACTCGCCGCAACGCTCCATTACAGGCCTGCTGCGGCAGAGGTGTAATGGTTAAGGCAATGGGCCGTTGAAGGGAAGGTCACTGGTTCAAATTCCCACATGGTTTGCCGCTGCCTTGTCTTGGCTACATGTCCAATTTGAGGGGAAAAAAATGAATTCTGACAGCTTTGACAAGAGAGCGCAAATGCGAATGTGCTCTTCAGCGGACGAACCTTGTTAGAATGTGCAAACGCAAATGTGACCTTCTGCCTGGCCACAGCGCCATGACGGAGGCAAAGTCAAATCTGCTATTGACACAATCTGGTAATGAGCTTGTCAGTCATCACGCTAGTGTCTGTTTACTCCCAGGACGAGAAGCTGGAGGGGGTTGAGTGTGTCATTGAAAGGTTTGCCACGCTTGAATTATTGCGATGTCTTTGCGGCTGCGCTACAACTGCCAAAAAAAGTACCAGCAATAAGCGGGATTGTAGCTTCCTGCGTGGGTGGGGGGGACGAGCCCCAGAGATAGGCACACCACCACACAAGTCACTTTAGGGGCAAACAAATTGTATTGCTTGTTGGCCCTGTGACTGATGAGTTAATTAAAGCAGAAGCGTTTGGTGGGACACCGCTCCTTTTATTTATCCCGTATTGACTTTATCTCCTTGCACTTCACTTGCTTGATTAATCGCCGCCTTGCTGCTCCACAAAACAACTAAGAGGGAGGCAATGGCCGTTGTGAAATTTCTCATTCAGATTGAAGATAACAGTTACAGGGTGAATTTTGATACTGATAAGTATTTTCACTAGTTTTTCTCTCTCTTAAAATGATCTTTCTTACTAATTTACTGCAGGAAGTGTGAAGGGAAATGTTCCGCACAGCACCACAGAGAAAAAGCAGAACACCGAGTGTCCACAGACCTGTTAAGGTGAGTAGGGAAAGTAATTCGAGCCCCGGTTTGTGACAGGTGCTGGAGGGAGGGAGGGAGGGGGGGGGGGGGGGGGGGGGGGTAGTGGTTAAGAACACCACATAATGTGGCAATGCCACGCGGCGAGCATGGCGAGACGGATTAGGGCTTAGTTGGGAGCGGGCTGTGTGTAGTGGGTGTTGGGGGCCCAGGTGGTGCCTGTTATTCTCTGGAGCAGCCCTGCGCTCGCTTCCTGGACGACGGGGACACAGTGAAGCCGCCATCAAGAGCAATTAGACACGTCTCAGCCCCGTTTGCTCTCTCAATGTTGAGCAGTTTTATCCTCTCCTGTATTTCTCTTGCACTTTAAGGCCAGGGATTTAGTTGTAAAATAGCACATAGCACAGGTGATAGCAGGATTTAAAGTTTTATGCAGGGTTGAGTCAGCGTCGAAGAAATATGAAATGGTTTGGCATGTGAGCTGAGTTTTTTAGCCTCTCTCTCCCTCTCTTTTTTTCAAATTAGCAAACCAAACCCAGATAATGTAATGGGGGTCGGGTGTTGCTGATTTGTTGCCTCTTTGGGGCAGCTGTGAGAAACTCAGCTGGATGAAATGATACATTTTTACGTGTCCTCCTTGTTGAGCAATTGCTCCTTCTTCACCGGGAGTCAAATATTGACTGAGGATAATACAACACAGGCTCACAAAAACTCAATTTCAATAAGAGGCCTGTTACCATGACGATCTGTGTGGTTTTAAAGGGCACGGGTCAAGAAAGATCTGTTAGTTAGTTTAAAACTGTACAATGTTGATATGTTAAATATGTGTATTTATTGTATTTCTTCGATATCCATGCCGACCAGAGAGCTCAATACCGTCCTGTCTTCAATAACCTTTGTACCTTCCAGAGGGAATATTGAATCACCCGTGCAAACGCAGGCAACAGGGGATGTTAGCAGCCATTCTAATGTGTGAACATTTCATCATCCTAAAATATCATTCAGTTTGCAGTGCGGCTGCTTGCTGTTGTTCATTGTCAAAGTGGGATTTTATAATTCCTTCAGCAAGTTCCCCTGCAGGCACAATGAGGCGCGTGATTATATCAGGGTGACTAAAGATAAGTGCACACTCAGCAGCTTCTACAACTATGAGGTTCTTGTTCTTTACTCAAGGATCTTTATACATCATGCAGAGTAGCACTTTAAGTGCTTTGGTACTTTAAAAACATCTCTTTATGGATTTTTACTTTTTAACCATTTTTAACCAGAAAATGTTGGAGGAATTATCACTTGATAAACACTTATTTCTTGTCTCATCCAAATACTTTTGAGCATGTTGAAGTTAATACCTCAACTTGTTTTACTTAACACATTTATAAATGTAGGATTTGAACCGTTATGTTTTTACTTTAAAAAAGATGTGCGTACTGCCTCCATCACTGTTATTGCAAAACTAGTTTTAGAAAAAAGTAATTTCCTCAGTCCGAAAAACTACTTTCTATAAATGTAGGAATCTTATTTCAGCATTGCTGCCAATGTAAGATTTCATTTAGTGTGCTCCTGGAGGGGCACTTTTCTCGGTCATCCTTTACTTTTTAATTCCCTTTCATGTGAGCTCAGCAGACTAACGTGGTCTGGTAAACAAGTCGGGTAACCTTTTTTACAGAAGCCTGAAATGAAGCATCTTCAGACTACATTTACTCGACTACATTCAGATATCTGCATGCTGCTTAAAAAATAATGACATACATACAGTATCCACTCCATTTAAACGGCACCTCCTTGGAAACAAGAATGTTATCCATATTTCCTTGGTAACGCACGCTTGAGATGTTGAGGTGAGTTGCTCTGCTTCGGCGGGGAGCTCGGAGGAAATATGATCATTCATAATAATCAAACCGATGACGGTGAAGGTTATTATTTCAGTCTAGCAGTCGACTAATTGCATTGCTCAACATGGTGTAATGATGTTGAAAAAAATCACAGAATGAAGCTGTGCAGTTACAGATCGACGATCCAGATTTGTATCCATTTTTTTATCCATTAAGTGTTTTTTTAGTCTTTGAAAGAGTGACAAACTAAACTTTTTATTAAAAGCTTATAAATACTCTATTCTAGTCTATTGAACCGGTCAGTTTACACATATTCCTCAAAAACCCGTCATCAGTAGTTCTCACACATCGAAGTACAGAGCAACAGAGTACAGAGCAAAGCGGCATCTTCATTTCTAAACGGAGCAACGTGGCCGGGCCGACTCACCCATGGTGCAGTTGGTGGTGAAGTGGGGCTCGATGGTGGCCGTGTCATCCTGCGGAATCCGCTGATCGTAGCTGGCGGAGACCCTGAAGGGGGACCCTGCGTGCGTCCCCAGGGTGAGGTGGACCACCGCCCAGCTGCCAAGGAGAGAAAGCAGGAGTAGGATCAGTGCGACCAGCAGACACCACGGCTGACAGAGGCACCCGTATGCGCCGCGGGGGTCTGCGGTTAGGGTGGCCTGGGCCGTCCGTGCGTGCTCCACCCGAGGGCCCGAAGGCCCGGAGGAGCGACGGGCCAGAGCTTCGGCGGAAGCCGTCATTGTAGCTTCAAGGTTTCCCTCCATGCGTGGAAGTTCCAACCCTCCTTTCCCTCCCGTCCCCTCCCCCAGACTCCCTTGGTGTAGTGGAGGCAGTCAGGTGCGAGGTGGTGGCTCACTCGGCAGCTTCTGGCTGCTGTGGAGTCGGACTGCACTTTGAGGGCATGACGGCGGCTGCTGGGCAGTCGGGAGACACACTCGGGTCAAGTTCCTGTGTGTTGGTGAGCCGCAGCGCTGTGCTGACTCCTGTACTCCACCAACCAGCGGCTGGCTTCATCTGGCTTAACTCTCCCTAATTCTATTACGCAAATTGTGCTGTTTTCTCTTTGGCTCCGAGCTCATCAACAATCTGCCTCCCTCCCACCGTCTCCTGACCATCCCTTCACTGTCGGAGACATAGCAGAGGAATGACTTCCCTGACGACACTTCTAAATGCACAACGCACACTGCAGCCATGGCTGATAATTAAAGTACTGAAGGAGACGTTTGCTAACGTCCTGTGTGCTTGAATGTGAAAGTGCCCCCGCAGTAGCTCAGGCATTGTTGCACGTTGTAACAGAAGTTTTTTTCGCCATTTGAAATGTGCCATCCATGCCGTTAATACATCCACATCTCCGAAGAAAAATAACGTACCCACAGATAAATATTAGCAAGCTCTACAACACAAAGCGCAGTCTCATTGCGTTCCTGCTTCTCGCAGATGTTTTTGCCAAAAAAACATCTGTGTCTGACAGGTTAACCCTTCTAATGGCCAGCAGGGGATGACTCCTCTGGCTGCAACACCAATATCCATAAAGGTTTATGAGAAGGTGACCCCACTCCTTCCTTAATTACCTCAGTAAAACATTCTGCCCTTGTGTTCATGGTCTTTAGCTTTGACTCTTTTTCAAGAGCATTTTATCAATTTTGTGAATTATGACTATGTCCGAGGGGTTCGCTGATCTTTTCTGAGAAACAAGCCCTACCTTTTAGGAAACTGTATAGTGTGTATAGCGGGCTTTATTCTGTGCTTTGTGTTAGTAAGAGAACAGCAAACACACATTAGCCAATGCACACACAAACAGGCACTGAGCTTTTGTGATTTCCCCAATGTCTGTGCTCAGGCTTCGCATTACCATCTCTGCCAGCTTCCCCTCTGATGTGTTTCCACTTTGTTTAATGATATGTTGGCTTTCCTCTCTTCGTCCGCTCCTTCCCTGCTTTACCCGGACACCGGTCAGAGTGGAGGGAGGTGATGACCAGATGGGAAGTGATGTTAAGGCACCGCAGTACACGGAGTGGAGCATGCTCCCTGCCATGTCCCATGATAGAAAGGAAACAAAGCCCCAGCTAAGGGCTGCCACTGTCTCTTTGATTATCTTGAAATAATTTGCTGACTGTGTCATATGCATTTGGTCCTCCTGACTTGCCTTATTGGCTGAGCGGAAGGCCTGCATTTAGAAAAAAACGATCTAAAATGATCAACGTTAACCTGATATCTCTCTCCCCCTCTACGGTAAAACTGAACACAAGTATCCTGGACCGCTGCTTTGCTCTCATGTCTCATTACGCTGTGTCTGCACACAGTGATTAACTGAGCAGCGGCTCAGAGCAAAGCTGCCACAGCACATCACTCAAACATTTAGACCTAATTAGTGGTATACCATGCAAGGCACAGGGCTCCTAATAGAAATAAATAAAATGAAAATGAATGGGAAATGCTTATGCTGGAATAAGATACTCGTGGTCTGAATGTGGATGTAGGGCTGGGCGCTATGTCCAAAAATTCATATCAGGGTATTTTGTATGATTCTGGCGATTTATTGACGCCAAATAGGACCATCGGCCTCCTGAACCGCAGTTTGTGCGGCGCGACCCACTTTGCAATGACTCGTTTTTTAACTTACATCGGATTTTTCCAAATCATAAATCCTCCAAACAGACACAGCTCCTCTCCTCTCCGCACTAGTTGTGTTGGTGCATCTATGGTCTCCTGTATCGCTCTTTTACGTGTTTTCATGCAGCGACGGAGTTACTTCTCGTTGTGAGCTGTACCCAGCATGCAGTTCGGCGGGGTAATTTTCATAAATGGACAATGATTAGTGTTACAAATTGTTTATGTGATATGCTAATCATTCTCATCGTGCTGCCTTGTGTGCTGGCGGCCGGACGGTTATTTCTAATCACCCGACCTTTGTCCAGACTGCTGTTTGGTAAAAGCTCCTCCCATGACGGGAAGGGCGAGGTTCTTTTCCACCTGTGAGAAACAAAACAGCTCAAGCCAACTAATCTTTGCTGCAAATTGACAATTCCCTTTTCATAATGCTATTCATCTGCTCCCTTAATGCGCTGCTCTGGCTAATGTAGCACTTTTAATTTTTATTGGGAGTGTGTGTTTGTTTTCGATTGTTTGTGAACATGTAGGATGCATATATCCTAATCACGTTAGGGCGTATTTGTGTGCTGGGATCTGGTTTGCATTATCTTGCAACATCATCCATCAATACTAACAATGCTGTGAAGCCGTTTTGGACACATAGTCAGAGTTAAGCTGGTGCAAGACAGGAAGACTAACGATATAGCTCGCCTCATGAGTGTGTTTGTGCACGTTCAGCCTTCAAGCCTTCTTGCCAGCTTTCTATTCCTCACGTTCGCATTCAGAATTAGAGAATGAAGTTTTATTTAAGGTTAGAGGAGGAACGAATGGATTGAAAGGATCTAAAGTGATGTGTGTGTGTGTGTGTGAGACAGTGTATTTGTAAAAGCTTTTATATGCATCACTTGTGCTGCTCTGCACAAATTACAGCCATTGAGAAAAGAATCACTCATACTATACTATACTTTCTAATAATAAAAACAAAATACTGAATATCTTTAGACCAACTGTGTTGTTGTTGTTGTTGTTGCCGCCTGGTGCAGTTATTGATCTTCAGCTATGAGCTCAGCAGAGTGAGGGGGGGTGTAAAGGTATGGACAGGAAGTGGAGCTTTATCGTTTTTTAATTTGTTAATTTAGTAGATGCATATCAGGGTTCAGAGTAAGATGTTGCCATATGACCTACGATTCATTTTGAAGTCTCCACATAACTGTGGTAATCCAACATCACTGATCACACAGCATGAAGAGATGATATAAATCCAACCTGACTTCTCTATTAGCTTTATTAGCCCCCCCTCCTCCAAAACAAATGTGTCCAATGGCTCTGCTTCAGGGATTTCCATCACACCTCGATGTGGTTGGTTAGTTTTTCATCACCGTTTTTAGTGGCATTACAGATAGCAAATTAAATCATTGGAAGAATTTGAAGGAAAAGAAAACGTAAAAATATTCAAGTAGAGTTTAACAATAAGATGGGCGCTGCAGTTTTTCTAAAATTGCTTATGTTTGCATATTTCTGCTGGGCATACAAAGATGACATCATGTCTCGACATCATGAATTCGTCTGAATGTAACCCGATTAAGTTTCATATTTCTGACCGTGGAGGTAAACACAATGCTCTACAACGGCAATGAATGACACCACAGAGACGTCAAACATGGCGAGCGAGTGATTAGTTCAAAATCATAACCAATTTGTAAAATGCCAAAGCCAATTAGTTTCTGATGTGGCTGCGGGAATTTGCCAAATATTATCAAAAATAATCTCACATGGACGCATCGGGTCATATAACTAAGGGAAGAACAGACCTTCGGAAATTTCTAAAATGCCCTCAAAAAAACACAAACGGCTGACAAAACAGCCATAGTGTGTACGGTATGAACAGTGCACAGTGGTGACCAAGTCACAAGCCTTACATCTTCAAGCCTATTGCGTGACATTAAAAATAAACCCTTGTACGTACCTGCAGTTAAACTGCAGGAAGGGGAGAAAACGGAAACTACTTTCCATGTTAACAACATTTCCAGTATTGCCATTGGTTTTGAATCAAAGTGGGTTTTCAATGGGGGGGGGGGGATGAAATTGACGAGGCTTTGCTCTACTCTGCGCGGGGGGGGTTGGGAGGGGGTGTCAGGGCTGGGGATGTCGGCGGGGTGGGGGGGGGAGTGTCGGGTGGCTCTGTCCAGATTTGCTGCTGAATCGGATCTCTCCTTATTAAGCCGCATTGATTTTGACTGTCAAACTGTATAATGCACAACAGACGTAAGCCAGTATGTCGACAGAAGTGCAGATTGCATTCAACCCCCTGACGTGCCCCGGCTGAATGAATGCCACTTCTCCAAACCAAACACGACACATTTGAATTCTATCTGATGAAGGCAAAATCTGTTCCACCATAATTCAGAGGGTAGATGAGGTAAACTGGATCGACTTGCATAGGGGGACAAGTCTTTGGCAGAATTCTGTGTTTGTTCGGCCAAAATGGATTAAATAAACTTTAAAAGATATTTTGTTTTCTCAAGCTGAGCCAAACTGATTAAAAAAAACGGAAACGTTTAGGAAAACCACATAGTTTTGTGCCATCACTGCTATGCCTCACAGGCAATGAATAACAAAGACATTTTCTTATTAACTGTTTGATCATAATATACCGGGGGGAGAGTGGTTCAGTAATCGTGAGGCTTTTACATGATGTCGAGGACCAAAACTCTCGCCTGCACTCAAGTAAGCAATATTTTGTATATTCATGTGAGTCACACCTGAATGCGGTTATCTGCCATTTCTGCGCTACGCTAATTATTCTGTAACTCAAAAACGCCAAGAGAAAATGAAAGAGGATGAAAGCAACCCCCGACCAAATAAACAAACCCACATGAAAGTCAACCACGGATTCATGTCAGTGTCAGTTTCACATGCCCTCAAAACATACACACAAGTACGCCATGGGACCACTTTCCAGAATA